CAACAAGGGGCTCTCCTTATCTTTCCATGAGGAGAGTCCTCGCAGAAATCCTTATTGCTTGCCTGGTGGATAGTGACTTTGCTGACCCTAATTCACGGAGTCAGGACCAAGGCTAGGCTGCAGCAATGGGCACCCACCCAGGCACGACTTACCAGCGATGCTGAACACTGCCTGGAGCCCCGAGGAACACTGTCTGTTGACAGTGCTCAAAGGCACCGTCTCTGGGATGTCACTGAAACAGAAGGCGAGACCACAGTCAGCAGCCCTGCCCCGCCAGGCTCACAGAGAGAGCAGGCCTGTGCTCTTGGACGTGACTTCCCCACCAGTGGGTGCAAAGCCCAGGGGAACACACCCAGCAGCCCTTTCCCCGCTCTGGGCTGGATCCATAGTGGGCAGACCCACGGGCATTTGCTCCCCAGGGCCCCACGAGCACATGCCCTCCCATCCTGTGATGCTCTGCAACCAAGGCCAAGTGCAGCCCAAGGCAAAGGGAAGACTGGTTAGGCCACAGGGCTCCTTCTTTCTCTCCCTTCGAAGGTTCAAAAATGAAAACTATACAGGGTGAGGCAAAGAACAGAGAAGAGGACTTATTTCTGGGACAGAGAACCAGAGCAAAAGATATGTCTCAAGTATGAGGCCTGCCTTACTAGTGACCACGTGGCTCACCCTTTCTGTTCCCCTTCCCTCTGGAAAGCCTGCTCCCAGCTGGTCAAAGACCCTGCTGGGTACCGGGTGTCCCAACATACTTTGTTCTGGTGGGTCCTCCCAGGCTCCTTCCTGGTCCCTGCCCTGGAATCTGGTAGGGCTGCCCGTCCTGATGTAATTGCCCTGGCCAAGGGTACAAAGCCCTAGGGAAATCCCAGGGCCCGTGGACTAAACTGTACGGGGTCCAAGCACTGTGGTGATTCCGGTGTGCAGCAGGCTCTACTGAGACCCTCCCAGGTAAATAGCCTGCTGGGTCCCCTAACTTCAGAGTCACCACCCCTTCACCCATCCCACCACATGTTCACTGGACACCTACTCAGTACTAGCCACCACCGGAGGGATGCTGACATGCTTAGAATGCAGTGTCCAACGGGATGCCTGACCAACACACAGAAAATGAATGAACTAGCAGAGGCTGAAAGAATGGAGCAAGATGGCAAAGTGCGTCCCAAGGAAGCACGTGGCTCACCCCTGGAGAGGAAGGGCTCCTCCCTCGGGGAAGTCAGGCCAAACGGTGAAACCATGCTTGCACAGGGTTTAGGTAGGGCAGAGAGAGGAGATAGGGACAGCCCTTCAAAGGGACAGAATGACTAGCACCCGGAATAGTGGGCAGACAGGCTGGCTGAAGGAGGAAGAGTCAAGGCCAGTAAGCAGCTGGGAGATAGGGCTGGAAGGCAAGTCTGGAGCCAGATCCTGAGAGTCCTTGAACTTCAGGCCTAAGCAGTCTGAACCTTTCCTAGTAGTCCCTAGAGGTTCTGTCAGTCTTCCCGTTCCTTCACTGGCCTATGTTCCCATTCTTTCTTCTTTATGCAGTTACGAGTACACAGCTAAGAGGTTCTCAAATCTTCATGGGAAGATAATTTAAGCATTCCTCCTCTGTCTTAGGACAGCAAGACAAGGGCAAGTGTACCAGGGCCTGATAAGGTCCCGATAAGATTGGCCCGAAGCGTTGCTGCCTACTCAGCTGGCAAAAGAAGCTGAACATCACCCTGCTTAGTTATTCACCCAGCAAAAGAGGCCAGAGTTCAAACAGCACTTACAAAAGGCAAAACAACAATTTGACTCTGGCTAAAAATCAGGTCACAGAAACCTTTTGCTACAGTCCCAAAGACCCTGTTTGTCCTGGCCCAGGGCCAGGTAACACGTCCTCCCTTCGAAGCAGGAGCAAGGCAGGGTCCACGAGAGTGGGGTGCTGAGGACCCCGGCTGCCTCTAGGTCTGGTGTCCAACCCGATCCTCTCCCGTCCACAAGCTGAGTTCCCTGAGGCCTGAGCCCACTCAAGAGTCAAAATGGCCAACCCAGAGCCAGAACTGGAAAAGTTTACCTCAGAAACTGGGCAATTCGGGCCATGACTGCCCCGGCCCCCGGCTGAAGCACATTTCCTGTGGACAACAAACCTTTGCTCAGTGCTCAGTGGTGTTCTGGGCACCGAGGTGTACCTGTGAATATCAGAGAGAGGGGACATGCCACAGCTCTCTTCAGAAACACAAGCCCTCAGCAGGCTCCCTGGGGGCCCTGGAATTTCAAGGTGTGGCGCGGGGGGGACCAAGGTAGACGGCAGCTTGTCCTGGTCACACACTAAACCCGGCGCGAGGGCGCCCGGTTCCCTCGCCCACCCACCCTGCCTTTCCAAATCAGCACGCGGTGGGCGCACTGCTAACGAGCTGGTTCTACCAGGGAAATGGGTTTCTGAAAACGCACCCCTCCCCAGCTGTCCTCTGCCAATCCCTGCTGTCACTCCGTGGGCGGAACAGTGATTTCTGACCTAGGGGTGGTGACTTATACATTACATAATATGACTCTTGCCCCATTACGTTGTCGTGTTTCAAGGCTAGAATAGCAGAGGTGAGAGAAAAGGGCTGGCGGAAGGCCCAGAGGCCCTGGATTCAGATGCAAAGCTCTGCTGCAAACTGCCCCCCTGCCTCAGTTTCTCCATCTGTGAGGGACTGGACTAGATCGTTTTTGATGTTCCGTTTGTTCCGTCCTGGCAGAGAATGGATGTCAGGATCCATAGAGAGCCCTATAGTTTCCCGTCTCCTGGGGTGTTCCCAACCCCCTGTGCCAAGTATCTTGGCGTTAGAATGCCACTTGGGAGCCCTGCTTTGTATCATACTTAATATGCAGAATGCGCTTGGAGGGGCGAAGGCTAGCCCTAAAAAGGCAAATTCGTCGTTGTCCAGTCCGTTGACACACCCCTCAGTGAAAACACCTGGAGGGTGGTGACATATCTGAGGGCTTTAGCGGGATAGGAGGACCACCAGGATCGAGCCCAGGATCCGGGTAGCATTCTCACCCACGCATATGTCTCCTAGTTGGGACGGGCTCAGCTTCACGTCCTGGAGAACCGCGGTCAAGACGGCCGAGAGAAGCTCGTCAGGGGTGGTGTCCTGCAGTGGGAAGCGTGGCCGCGGTGACCCCATGCCGCCACTTCACGAGGTCCCAAGGGCCCCGCTACCCGCCCCCCGCTTCTCAACACAGAGAAGCAGAGTGGTCGGAGCTCGGGAGCGGAGCCAACTCGGGCACCAAAGGGAACCAGGCAGAGACGCCAGACTCCAGCTCGCCCCCAGCCGCCATCTCGCTCATGAAGCCCGGACCCAGGGTCTCACCTTAAACCCGCCGCGGTTCCCTCGGCCAAAGGCGGTGCGCCGCCCGTGCACCACAACCACGTCCTCGGCCGACGTCTGCAGAGCGCGGCTCCCACACGGCGCGGCCCGCAGCCCCCGCTTCCAGCCCGAAGGAGGCTTGCCGTTCAGGTGGCCCAGCACCACTTGCAGCCTCTGCATGACGCAGCTCGACCCGGTAGACGCCCCCACTAGCCCACCCGGAAGACCGCCGGAACCAAGACCCTGTAGCCACCCCGCCATTACCCCAGAAATATAAACACCGCCCACAGCCCCTTGGACTGACCTGCTCCTCCTTTCCAAGGTCCCGCCCACCCCCTGTCTCAGCCAACCAGAAGGAGATTCTGCCTTAAGTCCCGCCCCACCCCAAACCAAATCACCTATAGCAGGGGTCACTGTCACGTCCGACAGGGTCTTTCCACTCAAAGTCCTGCCTGCTGTAGCCTATGGCTGCCAAGCAGAGGGTGGACATCTCGGAAATCCCGCCCAAAAACGCTGACCCCCCTCCCCCTCCCAAACCCGAGGCGGGACCGCGAAGTGCTCTGCCTACGGCTTTTTGCTTGCAAAGGTTGCCCGGACTCGAATCTCTCCTTCCCATTCCTAGTCTTTTCTGCTGTCCCCTGGATCCCAGCACCTAAACTAGGGGACATAAATAATTACCACAGAGCCCTACACCGACGTGCATGGGCTCTTATGGGAAATCATTCGAGAAGATTGAGGAAATGTGGGATCCTGGGCAGCAGGAGAATGGATTGTACAAAAGTGCCGAGATGTGACAAGCTCCCTATCTGGAGGGAGAGCACCATACAGTTATTATTTTTTTTTACCAATTTTACTATTATTTGGGGTGATATGATTAGTGCCCACGTCCACGCCAAGTCAGGGAGAGACCCTGTGTCCGTGGTGCCTGCAATGTTCTTGACACTTAGTAGGTGATTCATAAATACCTATAGAATGAATGCATGAACCAAGCTCCCCAGGTCAGGGCTGAGTCTCCCCCAATCCTAACGAGCAAGGCTAGGTGCTCCCTACACTCCCGATAGCAATGTGTTTTCCTAGAGGGGAGTTTCCCAGAAAGTAGTACTGCGCTTCCCCCTGACACCAAAGGCCAGGGCGCCCTGTTACCTCTAATCCCCGAGGGTAGGGTTTTGAGCCCCCCTCCCCCCACCTTTGAAGGGCAGGGCCGTGGCATGCCTCAGATTCCGGAAAGCCGTGTGCGCTTTCCCACCTCTACCTCTGAGTGTACCGCCGGGGACTCCCGGGATACTCCTAGAGGCAGGTCTATGTGTTCCCAGGAGATGGGGGGAGGGAGGGTAGGCAGAACCGATTCCTCCTCAATTGCCTCCTGCCCTCCACCTTCAAGGGCAGGACCGCGTGAACCCCTTAGATCCCCCATTGGAAAGATGTGATTCCACCGGATCTCAAAGAGCAAGGCCCCCGTTTCCTACAACCCCTGAAGAAGGATCGACATTTCCTTCTGCTCGCACCAGACCCCCCCATCCCCGCCCCGAGCACAGGTCGGTGGACCTGCCCAGACCTCAAAAGGCAAGTACCCAGTCCCTTCATCTTATATCCAACGCAAGGTGGGACCCTTCCACTTCTGCACCTCTGCTGGTGCTCCAGATTGAAGGGCAGGGCGGCGCTTCTCGGAAAGGGAAACTGGCGGGGCGGAGCAGCGGGTGTTGGAGGGGAAGAAGGAAGTGCGTGCGGGCCGGACACTCGACTCCACAGTGCGGAAGCTCGAGGGCGGCCCACCATGGCTGCAGGGGTCCCGGGCGCGGGGTCCGCGTCCCCCTCTCCCTCCATGTCCTCCCTGCCTCTGGCCGCGCTCAACGTGCGAGTGCGGCGCCGACTGTCGCTCTTCCTGAACGTGCGGGCGCAGGTGGCTGCCGACTGGACAGCGCTGGCAGAGGAGATGGGCTTCGAGTATTTGGAGATCCGGCGGCTGGAGAAGCACGACGACCCCACGGGCAGCCTGCTGGACGACTGGCAGGGACGTCCCGGCGCCTCGGTGGGTCGTCTGCTGGAGCTGCTCGCCAAACTGGGCCGCGACGACGTGCTGCTGGAACTGGGGCCCAGTATCGGTGAGGACGCCTTCTTTGCCGGCCCCCGGGGTTGGGGGCGAGGGGTGGGGGAGCAGGGCTTCGCTGGTCTCAGCAAGCAGTCTCCCTTGGCGAGGCCCTCCTTTCCTGGGGGTAAGAGTGGGAGGGCATTCTGCAGGGGGGAACCGTGGGGACCAGTTCCCTCTTTCAATAACCAGGATGGGGGAGTCTAGAGGAAGGAGGTGGAGGCCCACAGAGGCAGAGAACAAGAAAAACAGCTTAGGCAAAAGCTTTCACATAGGGTGGGAGTCGGAATCGGGCCCTCGTGGGCCGGGTGGAGGGGTGGGCGGGGCGGAGTTTGGGTTGCTTCAGGTACAGCAAGAGGGCAGGTGGGGGTCTGAAAGCTGAGAGTCTTGGAAACCTCGGTTCCCCTAGGAAATGAGCTGCTTCCTGCATGGGCATGGGGACAGCTGCCCAAAGACAGGCACACTTTACTTGGTTGGAGCCTCTGCCCGCATGCACATGACCACTGGGTCTCCTGAGCCCTTCTTGCATGCCCAGCACCCTGTTCACGTCAGGCGTGGATTCTAGAAGAAGCAGACCCTGGGTTCTATTCTCAGGAGCCCTAGGAAGTAGGGGCCAGGGCAAAAGGACAGAAATATACAAGCCGGACCTTGATGGCTTCCTGTAGGGCTGTAACACCATTGACCTCCCTTCGGGATGGTCAGAGCCAAATGGAAGCTCAGCTTCTGGGAGCTGAAAACCGTGAGTGGCGCCAGTGGACTGGAGAAGCGCTAGAGCACAGCATGGCCAGGGAGGTGGGACAGGGGTTGGATCCCGACTGTGAGTAGAGGCATGGGGCCCCCTGGGAGCCTGCCCCACTCTGCCTCTTCCCCACAGAGGAGGACTGCGAGAAGTATATTCTGAAGCAACAACAGGAGGAGTCTGAGAAGCCCTTACAGGTGGCTGCGGTAGACAGCAGTGTCCCACGGACGGCAGAGTTGGCGGGCATCACCACACTTGATGACCCCATGGGTAAGGGCCTAATACTGCTCCCCTGGCCCAGATGGGACAGGTGGGCTATGGGACATTGTGGCGTTTGAGCGTGAATGTTGGAAGCAGACGGGCTGTGGCACTGTGTGCAAGTCCCTTCACCTCTCTGAGCCTGTTTCTTTACCTAAGAAAGGGGGATAATGATATGAAACACTCATGAAATCGTGTGTGTGTCTCATGGTCAACCCAGGGCTTGGCCCAGGGCAGGGGGTGGTGGGAAGGTGCTCATCTTTCCTGTCCTGGGAAGAGCACTTTCTCCGAGTAGTGTCATCTCAGCGTTGATGTAGGGCCTGGGACCAGGGTCACCCCCAGCCTTCCGACAGAGCTCTGACCATCCCCCCTGTGCTCTGCACCCAGGGCAAATGCCTGAGCGATTTGATGCCTTTATCTGCTACTGCTCCAGCGACATCCAGTTTGTACAGGAGATGATCCAGCAGCTGGAACAGACAAACTATCGGCTGAAGTTGTGTGTGTCTGACCGCGACGTCCTGCCTGGCACCTGTGTCTGGTCTATTGCCAGTGAGCTCATTGAGAAAAGGTTGGTTAGGTGGCTGGGGGGCAGTGGGTGGATGCACCGAACCCAAGGATCCAGGTGCTGGGATTTTCCCAGCTGGACCCCTGTCTAGCCTGGGCACAGTGGGTCCCTCCCAAGGCCATCCCTTGGGAATATGCGGAACTGGGTCACCACAGAGCCCACAGCCTGCCCGCTCTTCCCTAGGTGCCGCCGGATGGTGGTGGTTGTCTCAGATGATTACCTGCAAAGCAAGGAATGTGACTTCCAGACTAAGTTTGCACTCAGCCTCTCTCCAGGTAAGCTCAGTCCTGCCCTTGCTGCAGAAGAGTGGGTGGGTGGGGCTTCAGGATGCCGGCCTTTCCTCCCCAAAGACCATGAGTGCAACACCAAGGAACTCCTGCAGGTCTCTGCACACCTGTGTGCCTCTTGTGCGTGCACATGAGTGCTTTTTGTGTGAGTGAATGTGTGACAGGGATGCCTACTGGGGGGAGTGCTGTTAACCCCTGGGCTGGGGACTGGTCCCACCCCACCGTGGGATGAGGGCCTGGTGCCAGCTCTGCACCCCTTGGCTTGCAGGTGCCCATCAGAAGCGACTGATCCCTGTCAAGTACAAGGCAATGAAGAAAGAGTTCCCCAGCATCCTGCGGTTCATCACTGTCTGCGACTACACCAACCCCTGCACCAAGTCCTGGTTCTGGACTCGCCTCGCCAAAGCCTTGTCCCTGCCCTGAAGGCTGCCTTGGGACCCTGGGTGTACGTGTGTCTGTCTGCCTGTACGTGTACTCCTGCCCCTGTCTCCCTCTGTGGTTGTAGGGGGATCCTGTGCTCCACTTGCCTGTCCATTCCTTGAGCTGCCGGCTCCACAGGCACATCTGCAGCCACTGTACGTTCCTGGACATCACGTCTCAGGGCCTGCATGGAATCAATGGCTGCAAGGGGAGGTGCCAGCTGGGGCTAAGAGGAAGACCGAAGGCGCCATCTCTGACCCATCCGCACATCTCAGACCTCAGCTTCTCCGTCTGAGAACTGAGTAGGATGGGGAGAACAGGCAGTAGCTATGTTCAGATCACTGTGGGAAATGGTGAAGCCTTGTTCTGGGTCTCCCAGGGGAGACAGATCTTGGCTGAGAGAGAGCTGGCTGCCAGGGCCATATGCTGGTACTGCTCGACCACGGCACTGCCAGGGAGGCTGCTGCCACAACGGTGCCTACTTGTTGCTCATCTCACATCCCACTTCCTGCTGCCCCGCGGGGTAAAGACTGGCCCAGCACAGGGTGATCTCAACCTGACCCTGATTCCCCCATGGGTTCACCTCTATCTGCCTTGGACCACTCCCAGCTTCTTCCCACATGAGCAGCTGGGGCTGCTTTTCGCTTCAACCCGTCCAGGTGCCTGTGATCACACTCTCAGCTCTGCCTGGCACAGGATGGGGTGCATCAGGTTGGTTCTGAGGCTGGGCCACTGTGGTGGGGTGAGCAAGAAAACCTCCTCCCTGGGCCACCCATGGAGAGGTTTCCCATCCACCTTTTGTACCTTCAGTGCCTTACAAAGTTGTTTGCTGGGACCAGTTTACAGACAGGGATCCCATAAGAGCCTCCTGACCCAAAGCTTGTGGGCGCACACACACCCATGCACATGCACATGCGCGCGCACACTTCCCTGCGTACAGCTCCCAGGTATGGCTGGGTGAGCTAGTCCCACCACTGAGGGGGTCTAACCGTGGATAAAGATAGGGCACTTATGTATTCCTTTCCTCTTTCCCCCCCACTTCATTGAAACCAGTCTCCAGAAAGAACCCAATATGCCAGCATGTATGCCTCCAGCAAAGCACAGAGCAAGGAAGGGAGCTGCTGACCTTCACGCAGCAAGTCAAAGGCAGACAGCTGTTTTTCCCTCTCCCACTCCGGGAGATTTGTACATTAGTTCAAATTAGCTCTCCTTGGGGGAGAAAATATGATGGTCTCAGGTCTCTCCCAGAGCAGATCTCGGGACCCTAAATCTAACTGTAGAATGTGTCTTCTCTGTTCTGCCTCCAGCAGGGCTGGCGCAAGGTACCTTTCTTCAGGGTCTGGGGAGGGATGGAAGGCCCCTCTGCATGATCTCGATGAAGCACTTAGCCACCATGCACCTATGCCCACTTTATAGTGGGGAGGATTGTAAAACAATTTCAAGAAAGTATCTCACACCTATTTCGTATGCATTGTGAAAATTTCAAAGGGCCAAGAAATGCCTATGTCATTTCTCCTACATCCTGGGTTTACAATAAAGAGTTTTCTATTTTGGGAACAGCAGGTTTCATTTGCGCCTGGAGGGAGTTTGGAAGCAGTGACCTGGGATAAGGCTCTCCTGGGTAAGAGAAACGGAGCCATAGGGTAGGTTCCTGTGGGTTCGGCAGGGGCTTCCTGAAGGGGCTGGGCCCCACCTCACAGCTCCCAGACACCACCGGGGCTGCAGCAGAACCAGGAATAGCAGCCTCAGCTCCAGAGGCTGGGGAGACTGCTTGCCTCTGCCAAGCTGGTCTGCCCAGGATTGTGCCATGCTAATGGGCCCCTGGCCCAGCTGCCAGGCAGAGCTGCTCTTCCAGGCCCCAGGGGGAGTCAGAGAGCCCCATTTCAGTTACAGATCTCTGTGGAGAAGCTCAGTTATCAATAACGGGTCTGTCATCCTAGGCATAGGTGTTGGTCTATCTCAATAGAACATCTCATGTTCACTGTTCAATCAAGAATATTTGGAAACTATAAAAGAAAAAAACCACCCATAACCCTAATCCCAGAGGTAACTAGTGACTTTTGAGAGTGCTCACACATCAGCTACTGTAGCTTTTCTTGCAATGGTCTGTTGCCATGTCCTGGCTGCTGAGCCTCCTGGATGCTGGAGGCTCCCCAGCCTTACTCCTGGGCCCTCAGGGACTCCTAGGAAAGCTCCAAGTGTTCAGAGCAGCTCGGGGCAGGACTGCCCTCTCCAGTGTCCCCTAGGGGACTGGGCCACCCGTAGGATCTGCCTTGTGACACCCATGGTTGGGGGGACAGTCTTTGGGTCCACTTTTGGACTTGGGTGGGTGGGTGGGGGGATCCTCTGAGCAACACCAGTGCATCATGGGGAAAGCCTCTGTTCTCTGAGGCCAGGCTGGTGATCCCAATGTGCTCACCACGCCCCCGTCTGACGATCCTCACACCCCCTCCACCTTCCTCCAGTGCCTGCCTCCACACAAGTGGGTTCCCGGGTGGATGCCCAGAAACTTCCTCTTCTTTGTTTTTGATTTAGTCCTCGAGGACCTTTCTTTGGTAGAGAAACCCTCATTTTTGTCTTTTGGTAGGGAAAATTCACTGCTGAAATCAAAGGCAAAAGCGGGAAAATTTGGAGTGCAGCAGCAAAGTTCAATACCAAACTACAAGCCTACATGCCAATGGGCCTGGATTCTGCCACCAGCCCACGATGGGAAAGAAACAGGGAGAGGGATTTCCTCCAGACTAGACAATATGATGTGTTAACACAGTACATCTTCGTTGAATCCTGGTTCAAACAGACCAGTTATAAAAAGACATCTTGGAGTCCTATATCTGATCAAGGGTAGTGCACAGATTATATAAAGAATGATACATAACTCAAAAGTAAACAACCCACTTAAAAAATGGGCAAGTGACAAAGAGAGATTTCTCCAAAGAAGATATACAAATGACTACATATGACAGGATGCTCGACATCACTGATCATTAAGGAGTTGGGTCAGAGAAGGCCTGCTAAAACAGAACATTTGAATTAGATCCAGAGTCTCATAACATGGTACTGCAGTGTCCAGGACTGAAAATCACTCTCCATACCAAGGACCAGGAAAATCTCAACGCGAGTGAGGAGAGATCATCAAAAGATAACAGACACTGAGATGATCTGAGAAGGATTTGAAAGCAGCCCGTGTAAAAATGCTTCAGTGAGCAATTACACGCATCCTTGAAACACATGATAAAGAGTCTCAGCAGAGAAATACAAGAGATAAAGAAATAAATTGGAATTTTAGAACTAAAAAAAAACATCTGAAATAAAAAGCTCACTGGACAGAGAGGAGAAGAGGAAAGAATCAGTGAACTTGAAGACTGAAGAATATAAATCGCCCAACCTAAACAACAGAGAGAGAACGGACTGAAAAAAAGCAACAGAGTCTCAGGCATATGTGGAACCATTAGAAAAATCTAATATTTGTGTCACTGGAGCACTAAAAGGAGGGGAGAAAGAAGCTGGAGCTTAAAAAGTATTCCTATAAATAAGGCTGAAAATTTTCCAAACATGGCAAAGACATAAATGCACAGACTCAAGAATCTCATCAAATCCAAAACAGGATCACTCAAAGAGATCCATGCGAGGATGCTTCAGAGTCAAACTTCTGGAAACTAAAAATAAAGACAAAAATCTTGTAAGCAGCCAGGGAGCAATGACACCTTCCCTATAATGGAAAAGGCAATTTAAGTGATATCCAATATCTCATCAGAAGCCACAGAGATCAGAAGGAAGTGACACAACATTTTTAAAGTGCTCGGAGAAAAAAATTGTTAACTCAAATATCCTATACCCAGCGAAAAGCGGGAAGAAGAAATTAAGACATTCTCAGAAAAACTTACGAGAATTTATCAACAGCAGACCTACCCTTAAATAGCTAAAGGAAGTTTTGAAATGGAACGTAAGTGCTTTAAAAAGAAACTCACACCATCAAGAAGGAAGAACAAGAGAGTAAAAATAAGTCAATACAACGTGCTTTGCTTCTCTTCTTGCGTTTTCTAAACTATATCTGTTGATTCGAGCAAAAGGCCGGGGGCTGTGTGTGGGATAGATTAGGGAAGTCAATAAGCACTGTGGTCATTTCTGCTTCCAGCAGCTGCACGAAGGAAAAGGAGAAATGGAGTGTGGCTGCTGCCTGGGGGGAGGGACTCTGCGGTCCCCGAGATTTCCTCTTTCCTCAAAAGATCAAAGCCCACAAGGTCCAGTTCCGTGTCCCCTGTCCTGCGCCCTCATGCATTGTCTGATGTTCTCAGTTTGCGGAGAGAAAGTATTTAAGACAGTTATTAACAGGGGAGAGTAAAGAGACTTCATGGGAAGAAAGGTTTCTATCCCTTACTAAAAACTGGTAATGCCAAGACAAGTAGAACTAGGTAAGTCAGGTACAAAGAATGTTATACCCAGAGCACCTAGTACATATCTATACACAGTGATGCTCTGCAAACATTATAAATAATCAAAGTGAAATTGTATTTGAAATTACCAAAATTATGGAGATGGAGAACAGACTAGTGGTTTTCAGGAGTTAGGGATGGTTTGGGGGGTGGAGGGAGTGGGTGTACTGCTACGAGGTCTGCATCTCGACTGGAGTGGTGGGTAGATCTACGCATGTGATGAAAATGGCAAACACTGTACAGACGCCAAGTACCAATGTCATTGTGCCAACGTCAAGTTCCTGGTTTTGATGCTGTACCATAGTTACGGAGGATGTGTGCATTGGGGGAAATGGCGTGAAAGGTCCGGGAACTTCTCTGTCCTATTCTTGCAATTTCCTTGAATAATTATCTGAAGAATATATGTTTTTAAGAAATTTAACATAAAAATGAAGTTATAATAAAAGCCCATGGGTGCTTACGCAATGGATAAAGCTTAATTTCCCCACTTATCCCTCACCCCAGTTTTACTGAGACACAATTGACACACAGCACTGTGTAAGTTCAAGGCATAGGGCATAATGATTTTACTTACATACACTGTGAAATGATTCACCAGTTAACATCCACCATCTCACACAGATAGAAAAAAAAAAAAAGAGAAGAAAAAAATTTTTTTCTAGCCCCTGGCTTGCGTAGCTCAGTGGCTTGAGCTCGGGCTGCGAACCAAAGCATCACAGGTTCGATTCCCAGTCAGGGCACATGCCTGGGTTGCAGGCCACAGCCCCCAGCAACCGCACATTGATGTTTCTCTCTCTCTCTCTATCTCCCTCCCTTCCCTCTCTAAAAATAAATAAATAAAATCTTTAAAAAAACTTAAAAAAATTTTTTTTCTAGCTAATGAGAACTCTTAGGTTCTACTCTTGTAACACCTTTCAGACGTCCCCTACAGCAGGGTCAACTATGGTCCTCACGCTGCACATCATGGCCCCAGTACTCACTTACCTTGTACTGGAAGTTTGGGCCTTCCCACCACCTCCATTCAATCCCTCTGCTTCCCACCCACATCTCTCTTTCAACGAGTCTGGTTTCTGTTTGTTTGCTCAGATTCCACGGATGAGTGAGATCACACAGTATTCGTCATTGTCTGACTTCGCTCACCTAGCATAACGCCTTCATGTTCTATACGTGTCGTTGCAATGGGCAGGATTGCATTTTTTTTAACAGCTGAATAATAATTCCATTGTAGATACAGCTGGCCCTCTGTATATATGAATTCCTCATCTTTGGAGTCAACCAACCACAGATCAAAAATATTTTTTTTTTAAAGTTATGTTGTTGCTGACATGTACTGTGTAGGTAGGCCTACAATAGTTGTGTCAGTACTGAACACGTACAGACTTTTTTCTCGTCATTGTTCCCAAACAATACAGTATAAACAACAATGTACATAGCGTGTACATTGCATTAACTGTCATAATGGTCTAAAGATGATTTAAAGTAGATGAGAGGATGTGTGTAGGTTATGTGCAAATGCTGTGCTATTTCACGTGCGGGACTCGAGCATCTGTGGATTTGGGTATCTGAGGCTTGTGTGTGTGAGTGTGTGTGTGTGTCTTGGAACTAATCCCCTTCGGATACGGAGGGATGACTCTATATGTCTGTTGGGAACCGCCCTGACTGGTATCAGAGGCTGAAACCCCCGCCTAGCTAAGGCTAAGGGAACGCCCTTGGAACTGTAAGCCAGCAAGGAGACAAAAGCTTGTCTTCCTGTCAGGAATGCTGCTTCTGCTGCTTTATTCATAACTGAACCCCCAAAAAGCTTGGTCGGTTAGCCAAAGACGGGTAAGATTTCCCCACGGGGGAAGCGACCTAAGCCAGGCACGATCACTTTGGGAGGCCCCCCAAAAGAAGGACTTGGGGGGCTGCAGCAAAAGAGGGTGATGGACCCTCGCTCCTCGGCTTTGACAAAGTCTGAGTTCTCATCGTCTGGGAGAAAATCTCCTTATCTCTTGGTTGCCTTAGTTCCCTTGCTCCACCTAAGCCTGAAACAATGGCAGGGTGGTGCAGCTCGGTACTGAGAAGTGCGGATTTCCCGAGGTGATCAGGCCTAAGAAAGAATATGTAAATTACTGTGAAACCTTCTT